CCCCGCCTTGCTCCTTTCTCCCCCCTCTTTCCTCCCCTCTCTCCTTTTAGGAGATGAGCACCTCTTCAGAACTTCCCCTCCTCCACTGTATCCCCACCGCCCCTGCCAGCCTCCAGCTCCCAATCGACTATGGCTGGCCATCCTTTATCATGTCTAGTCCGCAGAAGGCCAAAGCAGCTGGGGCCTTTTTATCTCCGAATGCCATCCTGGTTTGCAGGAGGCTGTGCCAGGGAAGGCGACCCACCACCATCAGTGCGTGCTGGCTTCCTAAGCGTCAAGGCCCTGCTGCACTTTCATTAAACGAGGCAGCCCTGTAAACGCCGTCCTCACCCCTGCAGCACCATGCCACCTAACAGCCTGGCCCTAGTCAGCACTGCAAGATGGCTGTCACAGAGGCGCCTGGAGGGGATGAAGGGCAGAGGGAGGGCCTTTGGCTTCATGTGATCCACACTCAGTTCTTGGGGTCCCCATGATTCCTTCATCTCCTCGAAGCCAGAGAGCACAGCTAATCTGAGTTCAGCAGACAGCTCCCCACCAGCTGTTAGTTCTGCACCATGCCGCTGGCTGCAGAGCTAATTGGTAGCGCTAGGGTGGGATGTCTGGAGAGCGCAACTCATCCACACTGGGTGCTAAGTACCAGCCGTAGATGATTACATTTGTTTAGATTGCTCTGTGAGTCAAAGGGTAATTACGAAAGTGGCCATAAGAAGAAAAATACAAGGGTTCGTCTTCGCTCACCCTTTCCTCAGAGGTGGCGTCTGGCACATGTCATGTGTTGTTTTTCGTACATTTTTAAGAGTCTGGTGGGTAGCGATAAGCAGATGATGCGCACCGTGGGCCGCGTTTACGGGCTGTAGAGTGCTGACTGTGTCAAGCCTGTCTAGCTTGCCTTTCTGAGTGGTGGCCTGGACTCCGCGTTCCTTTGGCTGCCCGAGGTCCACTGTGACGCAACCATCTCAGACAAGCCCTGTCCACTGACGAGCACTTAGCTCCTTTGGGGAACTTGTTCATACTACAAACTGTTGTGTTCAGCGTCTCTCACATATGTCTGTTTATGTGTGTCAATACGTCTCTGAGGCGGGAGGTGTGGATGACTAGTTAACAGCCTCTGCCAGTTTACGGTCCACCGTATTACCGTATGGCTGTGTTTACATTGCCACCAGCCCTGTGCAGTCCTGTCCCTGGCCGTTTTGGGTCTTTGACAGATGGAAAATAATACTTCCTTGTTTTAAGTAGCCTGTCCTTAGTTAGGACCAGGGTCATCCATCTTAACAGGATCCTTGGTCACTTGCTGCATCGTCTCTGTGAATAACTTAGGTCGTTTACTGTTTTTCTGGTGATTTTTTTTTTTTTTTTTTTTTTGGCCTGTGGCTAAGAATTCATGGAGAGGGCTGTTTATTTATTTACACATATTAAGACACTCGGCGCCTTCTCATTCATCTTGCGGATATTTCTCTAACTGGCGACAGACAGCGGCGGCCTCACAGAACCTTTACTTCTCATTTGTAGTTCCCATGCGGCACTCACCTCATCGCGGGCATCAGGGAGTGTTTTCTTCTAGTGCTTTGGTTTTGGTTTTGGTTTTTGGAGACAGAGTTTCTCTGTGTAGCCCTGGCTGTCCTGGAACTCACTCTGTAGTAGACCAGGCTGGCCTCGAACTCACAGAGATCCTCCTGCCTCTGCCTCCCGAGTGCTGGGTTTAAGGGTGTGCGCAGCCACCTTTGCGTTCTTAGTGCCGGCTTTTCCCCTTTGCCGCAGGCAGGGAGTTAGCGTTTGCATGTTACCTGTGACGTGTCCCTGTGCTGCCTACCACGCAGGCCCTTGCACATGTGAAATGCAGCCTAAATGGCGTTCATACACACCTCTGTCAGAACCCCCGATGATCTCATTGTCCCACATCTGAACCAGCTTTGTCCTGATTCTGTGACTACGGACTAGTTTAGTGTTATGTTAGGACTGATTCTCTCCCATTGTCCTTCTTAATCACCTGTTCGTCCTCTGTCACCTACATAAATGTGTTAAAATAGGAGCCGGGCCAGCGAGGTGACTCAGTGGGTAAGGGTGCTTGCCACCAGGCCCGGTGACTTGAGTTCCATGCCCAGGGCCCACGTGGTAGACAGACAGAACCTGTACCAGCACCTTGTTCTCTCACCTCCACACGCGCACTCAGACACACACACACACACACACCCGTGCCATGTGTGCACACACATATACACATACACACTAACTAAATAAACGCAGTAAAAGCGTCAAGTGAGAACTCACTGCTAATTGTACTTTTCCATAAGGGAAGTGTCTGTCTCTGTCTAGACCCTGTAACCCAGCCCTCGTCCCAAAGCCTCGTGCTGCTTCTCACGGCCGAGTCCCTGCAGTGTGGTGTCTTGTGGGCAGGGCTCCGGTCTAAACAGGAGTCGTCATACACATGGCCCGAGAGCAGCCTTACGGAACATTTCTGTTGTACCCGTGTCTCCATGGCAACCCTGCCCTCCACGCCGAGGCTTCCACCTATGCCATGTCAGCGTTCTAAAGGCTTTGCATGAGGGGCCGTCAGACTTCCGTTCCGGACCCAGGGTGCTCCGCTGCTGGTTGATTATCGCGTACTGTGTGGTCACCTGAAAACGGTGACTGCATCGTCTGTAATGTGCATGTTTTGGTCTCCTGTGCAGATCAGACCTCACCACTAAATTACAGATGTGGCCGGTGGGCGCCCCGCTTTACGGAGACATACTAACGTCTGCCCGTGGGCCCAACCTGTGGCACACTGTGTGGTGGCTCAGCCTACTCAGCCACGCTGCTGAACACCTTCTCGCTGTAGACCTTCTGCGGGATGAAAATACACGTGGGCTTCTTCCCCGGGACTTCGTGTAGGTCATGCACCCCCTAAAAAGTGCCTCCAGAATGTTCTATGAACTTCGTGTCCTCAACTGCAGACCTGAGCTGCCCAGTGGAACTCTGTGCATCCAGATAGTAATGTTCTGTGTAGTCCAGGGCAGTAACCGTGAGCCAGAAATGGCTACGAGAGTTTGGAATGTGCCATCTGGGACTGGGGGACCAGACTTACAATTCTATTAAATTTTCATGCACTTTATTTTGAGTTGGCACACTGCACTGAGCACTTGTAGCTGGTGCTTCTGGGAGGAACTGAATTTTAATTTTAAGGCGAGTTCATTTTCATTGCTGTTGACACATGTCGCCCAGAGAGGTTGAGACTGGCCCCAAATCACACAGCAAATTCATTACTGAATCCAACCTGGAAGTCTGGGCCTCTTATTCTTAGTCGTGAGCACCCCCCCCCCCCCCCCCCCTCCCCCCTTCCCTCCAGCCCCCCCCCATTCCC